TTTTAGTATTATGTTGATTTATACTAGGAAGAAATAAATTCAAGATGGTGGGTGGTGAAATACTTTCCCTGGGAATTTATTTTTTTAATTTTTTTGGTTTGAGGGGGGGAGGGGAGAGGGTGTTGACTATTACTTTTGATGGATGAAGAGGCGGAGGGGAAGGAGTCTTGTGTCGAGCCTGATGCATAGGGATTGTCAAGCCTGATGGATAGGGATAGATTGCACAATTTCAATGTAGAAAAGTGTCATCGTTTTATCTTTTCATTTTCAAGGTTGCTTAAAATTATTCTCAAAGTTCATTGTATCCTACCTTCTCTTATAGGAGCCGCTTTGGAATTTACTATTCATTCTTGTTACCCTCCTTTTCACACTTGGTTGAGTTAACTGATCCTAAACTAGTTTTGACTTTTGAATACAAAACATTTTTTTTCATATTCCCTCCTTATTTTATTAGTAGTAATATATTTTTAAATAATATTTTGCCACACTGTAGTTTTTTTTTAATTGGTCTCCAGAAACGACATCGTTTTCTATTTTACCTGCAGCTTACATGCTTTGAGTCTGACACAGTACTTTTTCTCCATTTTCTCACACTATGAACTACCATATTCTATAATTTCATTAGTAATAATATTTTTTTAAATAATTTTTTATATAAAAGCTATTCTTTATTTTTAAAATGTAAAAAGTTACTTATAAATAAAAAATTTACTTTAAGTTATTTAAAAGTAATAAAAAATCTTATAATTGTAAAAACTACTTTTATATATATATATATAAACTAACATACCGAATATGCACTTACATACACCAAAATGTAGAAATACCGTATTTGTATATATTAGTTAAATAAATATCGGTTAGACAACTATCAAACCGAATGTTATCAAATTAATTAATTTTCTTCAATTTTTTTCTGACATACAAATAATAAACTGTAAAATTATATGAAGCACATATAACAAAATAAACTGAAAAATCTACTAATCATAACATTAAACTGCAAATAAATTGCAAATATGTAAATCGCTAAAAAATAATAATCATTAATAAAAGAATTGACTTTTTTAAGAACAAAAACGAGTTATACGCATTTTTTAATATATATGTTTGATGTACGTTTAATTATTTTTTATATTTATTTAGATCATTCGATATATCTATAATATAGTTCTCAAAATGAGCTTTGAGAGAATATAAAAGATTTATGTATTCGACTACCGTACAATAGTCAATAAATTTTTAAAGCTAACTTGTTAACGAAATTTTTAATTTTTTAAATGATGTCTCTTTTGACATTAAAAAAAATTAAAAGCTTATTACGAAATAGATTCATATAAAAAAGATATATCAAACGAAAAAAAAAATTACTGTGGTACCTCTGTACTCACACGGAGCAAATACTTCGTGATACACGGAATTGCTTCGTGACATGGAGCAGTTTTGCTCCGTTTCACGGAGCATGTGCAACAATATATATATTATTTTATTTTTAAATGATGCTACATGTTAATTTTTTTTTTTTATTGAGTGATGATATTTTTATTTTATTCTTTGTGTCAATTATTTTTCACTGGATGATTTATTTAATTTTTTATAAAAAAAAATTCTATTTTCTCTTGAAACTCATTTCGAAAACTATATTATAGACATATTGAATGATTTAAATAAATATTGAAAATAGTTAAACGTACATCAAACGTGTATTAAAAATACATATAATTCGCCTTTTTTCCTTAAAAAAATCAATTATTTTATTAATGTTTATTATTTTGTCGCGATAATTTTCTCAATATAATTTACATTATTTTTTAAAAAAAATTGTGTGTACGATGTCAATTATTTTTCTTTTTGGACGTAAAAATCCCTACTAAAATTATTATCACTTTACAATTTATATAGATTATAAATTGTTATACTATTTTTTCTACTTTTCTTCATTTCTTTACGCAATATCTATAAAATATATATATATACTTCTTTTCTTCATTCCTTTACACAAGTAATCAAATTTGTAGATTTATTGAGAAAAATAAGTAGATATTTTGACACGATAATATTACCTAAAAAATAATATAGTCCGTACATTGCACGGGTAGAAAATTATTATTATAATAAATTTGGAATTGCTTGCTATTATTTGATTTTAATACCCTTTTGCAGGTTCGATTTTAATACCCTTTTGCAAGTTCCCTAATGACTTTCAATATGTTGGAAGAGGCTATTGCGCTACTCACAGTTGATGATACAAAACATCGCATATTGTCTTTTCTCTCTTTTTCATTTTCCTGATGCCTGAGCGTAGGGTGCTTTACTACAACATTAGAATGTCATGGGGTTCAAATGACTGCTACGAAAATGAGAAGGAAAAAAGTGAGTAAGTTCAAGAAGATTTGATTATTACTCATCCATCATTCTTATATTTTCGTGTTTAAATTTGATGTCTTCTAGAGTGTTCCTTATGCTTAATGCTCTTAATTAATTTACTTTACTTTTCCATCCACTTGTTAAAATAAAAAAATAATAAAAACCAAATCATTAATTGTATTTTTTTCATCTACTTTTTACATTTTAAATGAGACTGTCAGTTAAGCTATTTGAATTTTATTCTTTCAAACTACATTATAATGTGATATTACATTTATAAACAATGATTAGCATGGAAAAAAAAAATCAATTTCCAATTGCTTTTAAGAGTTTAATAAATACATTTACTGTTGTAGTAGAAATATTATATTGTGCGAAATCGATCTACCACACCATTTCTTTCGAGTTATCACACCTTCATTAGGCCATGATATTCATTTGGTGAGTGTGATAATTATCCTGCACATTAAGACCATGTTTGATTGGTTCGATTTCCGTGAAAAATGGAATTCGATTTCCACTTTCTTCCAATTTTATGTGTAATATGTTTTGAATTCCATGGAATTTGGTTTCTTAATTTTCTTAGAACTTTTCTTGGTTTTCCTTGTTAAGTTATTATTATTATTTTCTTTTTTATACAATGGAAATAAATTCTATCTCTAATTGTAAAAAATATATATATATATTTTCCTTTCATTAACAATTTTCATGTAAAACAAAGTCCAACGAACACCAAAATATAAATGATTTTTTTTTTTTGGCAACGAAAACAAATTTTATCTCCAATATCAGTAAATTTTATCCATTTAATTGATAACTTCATATAAAACAAAATCAAACAAACATCAAAAAACACTTTTATTTTAATATTTTCTACTTGAAAAATTATACCAATCAAACACAATAATTGACAATTCCCAGTAAAACAATTTTTAGACAATTCAATTTCCTGAAATTCGTTTTCTTTCCACCCAAATTTCATCTTTGCAATCTAACGGACTCTAAGAGTATGTTTTAGTAGAAGTTTCAGGTAGATCCATCAATTCACTCTCTTTCTATGGAGAATTCATATTTGAGAGCTCTTTTTATATAATCTACATGGAGAATTTATATTTGAGGGTCCCTTTTTACCTAATTCCAAGGTTAAATTTCTATTTTACTGTATTTCTAATATTTCAATAACAAGTTAGAAGGAAATTAACTGCTATTAAATTGGCTGCTTCTTTAAGATCTGCCGCGTATGTCCATTCAAAGCCATCAAATACTTATATTTAACATTCACTAACTAACATGCAACGCACATTTTCCTCACTAGTAATCTAGAAAATTGGCTTATTATGTCAAAACTTCCGTGGAATGATGATACGAGAGCAATAAAATACACCTTCTTTCACCTCCAAAGGGGAAGGTCCTTAAGGAACAACATGTGTGTTTATGTATATATATCAAATTTGATCTCCCCTACAATGGACAGAAATTATAATACCCACTATGAACGTGACAATATGTGATGTCATCACGTCAACAATGAAAGTATGACTTGACACCATTACATGTTACATTCACAAAAGGCATTATAACTCCTGCCCACTGTAGACAATATATATATATATATATATGACTAAGCCAAATTCCTAAATATCATTGTCAAATGAAAAGTACAATGATGCATGCATTGAGATACAAAAATCTCAAGATCATTAAGTTGGGTAAACCTTTCTTCCACTTCTTTTTCGAAAATCATAAAGATCCAGAGAGACTATACAATGGTCCTTGATCTTATAAAAATCATCTTCAAACAGTGGTCAAAGGATTTGAAGCAAGACTACATCTCTTTTGATGGTCTATATACGATCTAATAAGTACCGAACCTCATCTTATGTTAACACTGATGATGTATCATATAAAAATCTATTTGATAAATTTTTATCTACTAATAAATTTATATGACACATTACTATTACTTAACATAAAATGAGCACCATCATTCTTATATATGTCTTTATTTTTAATTACCAATTCAATCTTGATTGAATCCTTGACTCTTTCCCATGCACGAATCAATTTTTAAACCATAGGTATTGTTCAAGTGCCTAATATACCTCTATACATTTCCAAATTAAATATTGCTATTTGTACATCATGCCATACAGCCTCCTCACATGAGAGGGGCTCACCATGAATAAAAATCGTGAGCCCCCTACTGTGAGAGGACTATACAAACATGGTGCACATGTAGCAAAGCTCATAAATTGAAACATGAATATAGTTATACTTACCCCTTGGTTCCAAAATAAATAAATAAATTGATTCATAAAACATTATCCAACCCCTTATTCCATTGATTTGTTTCTTTCTTTACCTACCAAATTTCTGTTATGCGCGATAATTATAGCATGAAGCCTATTTCAAATCAGTTGCAATATTCATATTTTGCTGTAATTTAGAAGAGCTTTTCTAAATTGTACACCATGGTGTACCATCCCCTCACATTGGGGACCCACGTGAATAAAAAAATCGTGACAACACAATTTTTTTATTCATGTGGGCACCCCATGTGAAGGGCTATACACCATTACAAACAGCAATATTCAATAAACCAACTTATTAAAAGCTTGATCCATAAAACCGAATGACAAGAAGAAAATGATCACTGGATTTTAAGCAGCAAGCAGAGCTTTCAGCACCATACAAAGCCACATACTCCCATAGACCATAGCCATTTACCAGTTATATTCGCATGAGCTCCTCTTTTTGTACATTAATATCAAGGGTTAACAAATAAAGAAAGCTATATTTCTACAGCAATGAAACAGGTAATTTCACAAAAGAATGTGAGGTAGAATTAACTTCAATAACTCTCATCATGAACTAGATTGCAAAAAATCAAAATAGTAATGATGGTAATTACTAATTAGGGTATCAAATAATATGCAATAAGGAAATAAAATACTGATTTATTTATTGCATCAGAAGCTCGGTTTTTGCATCACCCAAGATGTCTTGAAGGGGAATCCGAGTAACTCGTCATCTGCAGCTTAACATGATTTAAACATATAGAGTAGTTTAAGTCCATAATGAAAAGAAAGTTAATAACCTTCCAAACCTTGGAAAGCATCCAACAGATTCAAAAAAATAGTCATAAACATAAAACAAAAGGAAACAATTGCTTGTAAGAAGTACAAAGTTCAGTAAACTTAGGGCCGTTTGGCATGACTTTTACTTTTGCTTTTACATTTGATTCACGTAAGAGAGCTTTTGAAGAAAGATAGCTTAGTTTTCATATGAACTATTTTTTTAAAAGGACCAACTTCCTCTAAAAGCAAGCACTTTCATAAAAATTAGGAAAATGCCAAACGGATAGAACATCAAGATACCATTGCCCATTATATATATATATAATGAAGGAAATAAAATTTTGATTCAGCTGTGCATCAGAACTCGGTCTTTGCATCACCCAAGATGTCTTGAAGGGGAATCCGAGTAACTCATCACAGCACAATTTACACATCAAGAAAAATAACTGGATCACTAAAAGAAAATCCAAGAATCATAATACAGAGCCAAACCTATTCCATTTTAAAAGGTTCAGATAAAGAATCCAGTGTAAGCCTAATTTCACTATTTGGGTCTTTAAAATAGAGAGCATTTGACATTCTATAAGATCCCTTGCTAAGGAATGGTAAAAGCACTCAATCTATCAAAATATCAATTTTATACCTCAGTGGAGATTCTCGTCTCATTATGAACAGTTGCACCAGGGACCAAATTCTTGGTGACAATAGCACCGTCCATTTCCTCAGCATAAAACAAGCCATCGTGCCTACCACAACTTTGGTGTCGCTTCATTCCTCGGCTTGCTCCTCTTCCACCTCCTCTTGCTCCGCCTCTAACAGCGCCTCTCTTCATTCGGCTTCCTCCTCCACCTCATCCACCTCTCCTGACTCCCCTAAAATCCCCGCCTCCACCACGGCCTGCAGAAATCAGGTCAACTAAAAATCAATGAAATTGTTAGTTTTCCATTAACTAGAAGTTCGAGTAATTAGCTTGTACGCCTGTTAGAGTTCTGGCAGCCATTGGAATTGCTCTGCGAATGGCCGTATTATTGAGAATTGCCCTTAGGGTGAAGATGAGAACTGGCTTCGATTTATAGACGACTCTAGGGTTTGCTGGAGTGCTGCGTGGGCCGGATGCACAGGCCCATGTGGTACTCAGTAAAAAGTTTCGTAGGCATAATCGAATGGGCTTCTCATAGTTCTAGAATTGGATTAAAAAGTAAACCATAGCCTGCCTTCTTTGATCCATCTTAAGGTATCAAGTGGATGGTGCTGGATTGGGCCAGCCCATTAAGTCCAGGTAAAATTTTAGTGGAAATCACATAATTTCATATCTTTAAAGATTACAGTTCAAAAATCAGAGACCAAGTTTCATTATTCAAAAATCAGGTTTTGAGATAATAATTAAATATTCAAATTTAATTCCCCAACCCTAATATTTTCATCACGCTTCCGGTCTTCATTCTCTCACTAATCTCTTCTCTCTCTCTAACTCCATGGCCTCCGATCGTCATTCATCGTCGGTTGCCACAGTAGCCAATAAAACCTACTCTTTGGTGTGGACGCCTCTTTCTCTTGGACTCGCGAATGTGAGTACCGTGGTAATTCTTCCATCGTTGTGAGTGCTGATGTGATTTTCAGCAGTGGCAGCGTCGAGTGCAGTGGTTTGGGGCTTTGTGGTGGCGGCGCCTACTGTTGATTCGACGACTGCTGCTCCGGTGACCGGTGCGAATGACGGCAAATGGTGATTGGTGCCGGCGTGGGGAGTGGTTTAGGGTTTTGGGGTGTTAATGTGTTATCTCTTTCTCTTTTCCAATTTGCAGTTATTCATTTGTCGTAGTGGTGACTGCTGCTTGTTGGTTTTTGGGTGATGGTGGTTGTAATTTTGGTTGACAGTGGTAAGGTGGTGGTGATGGTCATGGAAGTGACATCGATGGTTGTGAATGGATTAGCACAGGATATGGGTGGTGGTGTTAACTATACACAATTTTAATTGGTGGTGGTGGTTTTTTTTTTGCTGAATTAATGATCATTTTGTTGACGGTGTTAGTGTGGTGCAGTCGATGGCGTGGTGCAAGCACAATTATGTGGTGGCGATTTGTGACCAAGATTGATACTGGATCAGAATCGGTGGTAGGGGTATTTGGTGCATGTGACCAACTATTTAGAATATGTGACCAATAAATTTGAACATATATGACTCTGAAACTTGTAATTTTTTTGATCTGTTACCAATGAAATAATTTGTAACCTATAAATTTTTTATCTGTGACTTGCAAAATTTTTTATTTGTGACCAATAAATAATTTGTAACCAATTAATTCGATGATATGTGACCAATAAATAAATTTGTGATCAATAATTATGAATCCGTGACCATTAATCGTGTAACTGTGACTTTATTTTATTTAATTAATAAATATTTTTAATTAATTATACAGAAACTTGAATTTTGAATTTTTAAACTTTGTATCTGATTTGTTAATTGGTGTAAACAATATACCTGACATATAAATTTTTCCCAAAATTTTATTTGAGGAAATTGGGTCCAGCCCTTAACTAAGAATATTGAATGCAACTTTGTTATAAACTAAAAAGATAAAAAGAGGCCTAAAGAGAGAATCCAATAAACTTGTATGTTTTATTGATAATCAAGACACTTATTTATATAGTTCAAAATGAGAGTTATAATTGGAATGAAGTAGACTATCCAAACTAAGCCCTTGTTTAATTTCCATTTTTTTCAAATTACATTTTTTGTCTCTCGTTTTCAACTACACAATTTTCAATAAAATAATATTATACACATACTCAAATCTTTTTCTTATTTTTTTAACTACACATTCTCTATCAATTTACTATTAAAAAATGCATTCTTTGAAAATAATGTAACTCAAACATGCCTAAATAAGACTAATCTACGCATAATGATAAGACTACATAATCATCAATATTTATCTTATAGTTTTACAACAATCTCCCTTTGATAATTATTTGCATAATAACTATCTTCATTGGAACCTTATTTAGAAAAAAAACTCCCATGGGATAAAAATGACAAAAAATGAAAAAAGTGTACAAATAATTTGGAATAATAAAATGATGCCTCGTTAAAGCATTGTTAAGAAAATACAATGGAATAAATTTTGATCGAAGGAAAAATGATACAGCTACTCTTCTTGATTTTCAATAAGTGGAAATTTTTGTATCAAACGATATCTTATATGTGAGTATCTTCAATATTGATATCTCATACGTTAATGTCTTTAAATAACACTATTTTCATATGAAATTTTGTCAACATTTACTGATTGTAGTGACATGATGATTCAAAAAATGATTCTTGTTGATCTTTTCAAGAGTCTCATACATATTTGAGCATTATTTTAAGGGTAAATATCTTATAGGTTAAAGACATCAATACACAAAGAATATATCTCGTTAAAACTTTATTAGAAAAATACCATGTGAAAAATCCTAATGAAAAAAAAAAATAGTACATTATTCTTTTGATTACGTTACAAAGATTGTCTCATTAAAAATTTGGTTAAGAAAATCCAGTTAGACAATATTTTGGTTAAGAAAAAATAGTATAACGTGCATTTACTCTCCCTCATGATAATATTACTTAAATTATGCTTCAAGCATGTTAATTTTTTTAGGGATAACATTAATAGTCTGCTAGATGCACTGACCACAACATGTTCAAATTTTATGTATCGGCAAAATAACATTATATGGACTCATGATTTTATCCACCTCGATCTTCGCGAAAATCACTATATTAAGAGTCGTGCATTATATATTACAACTTCATATTTCTCATTTCCTTCACGCATAAGTATACGCTCTTAGATTTTCGAACTATAAGTCTAGAAACTTCAAGTTTCTCTAGTAAATTCAATCCGACCCTTTT